GAAGTGGTCTCCTCCTGTCCACTGTTGGTCACGCTGGCACATGTTTAGGTGAACCGCAACATCACGGCAACAGTACCAGAAGTCATTTTAGTCAAATCAGACACGACCGGCTTGAACGTAGACCGAAATGTTTTGAGGATCTGTGAAAACCCTGTTCCAGGACCGAAAACACAATAGGTCACATTTCAGTTCCATAAACACCGATATACTTTCAACTTGAGAGACAGAACAGGCAACAGCACACTGGATCTGGATCCAGTTACAGAGCAGGAGGCGTGAGTGGATGGAAAACCAGGTCCCACATTAATGATGCAGCAGTTTGTCCAAATAGTCACAGTGAACTGAGGATATCCAGTCCCTCTGTGTGGAGGTAAAAAGTTTTGCTCACTCACTGGACACTGGCTCGGACATGATGACTACATTTTCTCCAGAACATACTAGAACTATGACTCTGCTTGCCGTTAGAGCCATGGTGTGGCGTTTGGTGTAGTTTAAATTAGGAAACGGCTGCTGACGCAATTTCAGAGTATCACTTGGGACAAACCATCTCTTTTTTCTTTTTTTTTTGAACAACCTTTAACTTTATTTGCTCTGTGGATACAAAAGGCTTAATCCCGACGACTGCATACAATGTAAAATTGACGAAACTCTCTGAATGATTAAAAACAAGTTTTAAAAAGTGTGTTTTTAATGACACAATGCGGCACCAAATCCCATTCTATCCTGCGGCACCACACTGTTTGGAACCGCCCCTGTTACTGGCAACGTTTACTGTGCTGTTAAACAACAGCTGTGGTTTTAACAGAACTAACACCCTTTAGAAAAACAAAAACTGGGCGAATTTAAAGTTTTAAACCTCTCAGTCTTAGATTATAGCAATGTGGAAACCCATGGTGCTACAAGCTAACTATTCCAAAGTGACAGAAGCAACCGGTAAACAAGTTCGTCTTAGAACTGTGGAGACGTACAGAACTGTCATATATCGTGTAAGTCATTAATAATTGTATATATTCAAAAATAAAAACTCACCGGGAGCGGAAGAAGACAAACTCCAGTACTTTTACTTTTTACCGTTTAATCCATGCCAGTGTGTGGTGTGTGTGTGTGTGTGTGTGAGAGAGAGGAAGGAATCCGAAGGAAATATTCTTACGGTGGATGTATTGCTGTAGTCTAACCAGCAGAGGGAGTCCGCGGCCTAAATGAAACAGGAAACAGGAAGTCACACTACGAGCATAAGAGCTATATTTAGAAGTTGAGACTTTCTCAGATAAATTCTGTATCTGTAGAACTCAGAAGTGTACAATTTAAAATATATTATATATATATTTATAAATGTAGAATATTGATAATTAATTGTTTTTTTTATTTTTATACTTACCCTGCATTGTGTTGGAATCTACGTGTTTATTTCCATAATAATATTTATATCTTATTTTAATTTATAACTATACACGTTTGATGAAATAAAAAAAAAATTCAAAGACTAAATCCAAACAGGGAAATATCATTGAAATGTCACTGCAAATTAACATTGCAGCTGCTGACATAATAGACCTGGGTCTTTGTTTTTTTTCTTTTACAATAGTTATCTCCAATGGGGGTTTAGTGAAGACGGGTCATTTTGACCCAGAGGACACGGGGTGTATATGTCAGGACAACAGGAGGGTTAAGTTAAGCTCTGCTGGGCCACATAAAATGAGGTGGACAGCTGGATTTGACTTGTGTGGTATATACTGATGAGAACAGAGCACAAAATAATCACTGTTCCTGCTCTTGGACAAAAGAGGCATTGTAGGGACTTACTCCTGTTATTGTCATCGTCATTGATATTAACCCACATTGTTCTGGAGGATCGAGCAATGACCAATCCGGGAAAGCATGTACAGTATGTTCTGTGTGGCTTCATTTGTACTCACTTTTCACATATGGCTGCCCTCTCGTTCATTGCAGGTTCCAGGCACTCAGATACTGGTGTGAGGCACAGACCTAATTTTAAACATCATCGTGACAATGATCACTGACTCTAGAAAATATCAGGCCACGAGAAGCGTTGGAACTTGAGACGACTTCTCTCTCCCGGTCACTGTCTTCACTCCAAAGGTGCCTGTGCCTCCAGAACTGCAGGACCTGATCTATACTCATCTTCGTTCATATTTGTTGATTTATACCAGGGGGCACCATGTTGGTGGGCTACGTTCTAAAAATAAAACCAACAAGAAATCAACAAGAGGGTTAAAAATTGAACCGTTACTGTTCTTTTTGGATTAGTTACACTTGCAATAAAGTTGTATGTCCCAGAACTTGACACAGTTTGGCGTTTGGCGATCCCTGATTTATATTGACTTTATACACCTCCGCCACCCCGTTAAATGGGTTTTTAGGCAAATATTTGAAGTTTACTTTCAATCCTTATTTCAAACTGTGAGTCCAATGACACAAATATGTCCATCCATCCATCCATTTTCATCCGCTTATCCTTTACCAGGTTACAGGGGCAGCAGATCCACCCAAATCACACTGCGCCGTACCAACCCCCCCTGAACCTTCCTGTGGTTGGTGAGTCCACTGGAAGGTACCAACCGCCCTGACCGGGATTCGATCTTGCCCAGGAGGTGAACCCTGGGGTTCCACAGTGGGAATTTGGGATATACAAATAAAATTTGACTTGACTTGAAATACAATGGTTCCAGAAAGGGGTATTGTGGCATTGTTTTTGGAACGATGTGCTCGGTAGGTAAACTGATGATTGTCTGGGTCGGGGGGAGGGTGGCTCTAATGTAAAAGGACACGTTTCTCTGGACACCGCGGAGCAACCGTTTACATTGCAGCAGGTCATTTCAGATGATTTTTTTTGGAACCAGAATAAAGGCAGTGATTGATAGCTACATTTCTAGCTCTCAGCCAGCTCACCTACAGTAGTTCTGTTGCTGCTGTTTCCTGTCTGGGTGCCTTGCTGACTGGTGTTGCTCTGCACCTGCTGGAGTTGGAGACAGACAAACAAGATGTCAGAAAGTGGAGCATATTGTTTTCAGAAAATTAAGTCCTAACATTGCTGTAAATCCGTGGCTTTCCGATTGAGAAATGGCTTTATTTTCCTCCTTGTTTTGTCGTTCTTGGTGCAGGAGTGCACTGTACATATCTGGGGGACCAAACTGACAGAGTCTGCCAGATCATCTCATCTGCATAGAGTTGCCCGTCGGTGTTGTCAGCTGTCAAAACGGTGTTGCGCTCCTGAGGTGGCCGCGTCCGACACCTGTGCCGTTTAGACTGTGGCTCTTTCAATCGGCGGATCTGCACTGTTTACTTTGGAGTTCAATTCATTTCCCAGCTATATTTGAATTAGGATTGGAGTGTACTTTACAATGATATTTGATCCTTTTTAGTATTCTATAGCCTACGATGTTAAAAACTGGCTCACTGGTTAAGTGAGAACACTCAGAACAGTACAAATGCAATAAATGAGTTAATGCTGAAGCAGGAGTCCCAACGGAGACAGAGAGGGTTTAATAACAGCTTTGTATAATAAAGAAGCAGGTGCTTGTTCTCAGAATAGTTTATTGTTCTGGGCTCATCCTGATGCCTGTCAGTGTGTGTGTGTCAGTGTGTGTGTGTGTACATGTGTGTGGAGCTTACAGTAGGATTTTAGAGATTTGCTCTGGAGCCATCGTAGAATGCATGGACAGACCCACCAATCTGGTATATATATGCGTGTGTTTGCGGGTGCGACCGAAATACCTAGTGATATTGGTCAAGGTCGTGTGTTTTGAAGGTCTTCTGTATTTCATTATCCCACTGGTTTCATCAGTTATTCCAATTGGGTCAATATCTTCCAGCTGTTCATTCTCTCACTTAAGGAACTGTAGTCGCCAAATGAACTCTTTCTTTATCAAAACTAAGTCATGATGCTACACAACATAATACACCGGTCAATGGTATTCCTTAAATGTTTTTGGTAATTTTTCTTATTCAGTCAATACATTTCCAAATTGTAATTCCTCAACTGAATTAAGAACTTTAAGGTGTTTTTATTACTTAAATTAATTTAATTAAAAAGATAGATCGATCGATAGATGGATGGATGGATGGATGGATGGATGGATGGAT